AATGTGTGTGTGTGTGTGTGTGTGTGTGTGTGTGTGTGTGTGTGTGTGTGTGTGTGTGTGTGTGTGTGTGTGTGTGTGTGTGTGTGTGTGTGTGTGTGTGTGTGTGTGTGTGTGTGTGCAATCATTTCTCACCTGTTGTGATGGCCTCAGGGTGGATGCTGACCGTCAAGCAGATGGACTGACCGGGCCCCAGACTGCCTGATGATGGACACACCAAACACAGCTCCCCATCTCTTCTTTGCTCTGTCGGTAATGCTTTTGTTCCGCAGTCAAACCACCAATTCACATGTTTCCCGACACACCTGCGCCAAAACACGCTCTCTTCACACACTGCTTTCAGCTCCACAGTCTGCGGAGGGAGAGAGGAGTGGTGAGAATTTTGGGATTCAGTAAGAAGGTTCAGGAAAAGCTATAGATGGAACAAGGGAATAGAATGAGGTAAGAAATGTGATAAACTGCAGATAGATCCATGTTCATACCTTAGTGTTAGCATCAAACTGTGTAGCCAGGGGGTCCACTTGGAACTCTAGGCTGGAGGGTGACATTTCCAGTGGTGCGCACAGTACTAGAATAGAAAAACATGACGCTACATGAAACTACTGTCATGTGAGACAGTTGTCTTGTTCACATACTATTTGACAGTATACTCGCTTCTTATGACCCCACCTGTGGCCTGTATGCGCAGTGACCGTTGTGTCGCCATGGTGACAGACTGGGGAAGGGGTTTGACGACATGCTTCCTGCTGCCATCTGACAGTGAGGAGTAGGTGCACGAGGAGGATGGAGTGGGGAGAGGAGATAGCGAAGCAGTGGGCCATCTCAACCCGTTGACCATCAACGGCAGGTCAAAGTCATAGCCTGCTGCCTGCAGGAATACATTTTCCTTCACTGTCGACCTCTTCTTCAATATTTAACTAAGATATTTAAAGCTATGAGATGAGCGATAGCAAGATCAGTAATTGATCGTTCGCTTAGCCCTGCCCCCATTAGTTATGGTTGTTATGCCTGTCATATTTTCTTGAGCACAAGTTCCACTCCATTTCAATTATGCCAACTTGAATCAAGGGCTCTGTGCAGAACATTAAACCAGCAGCATCAACAACAGCAGACCTAAACAACTCAGTAATAGAGTGCCACAGTGACGCGTCTCAAAACCCGGAAGTAAGTTAGCATTTTTACCACTTCCGGTTCCTTCGACAAAAAGCAATGAGATTTCTCCATAGGATTTAGGAAAATAGCTGGAAATAAGGTCTGTGGTTGAAACACATTGAAGAGACGGAACACGTTTTGTTCTACGACATTAAATACATCAGCAGTGACCCCACTGGTGATTTCTGAAGAGTTTACGTGTCTGAAGAAAGGATGGTTGTTAACATGTGGCTGAATAGGGCTACAAAAGTTATCGAAGCCGTTGTACGTCATTACACCGAACACGTAAACACTCCTCTGAGTTTGTTTTCCCCTGTTCTGCTTGAAAGCAAGTTCCTGCCTCCTGCAAACTGTTAAAACAAACGCTTCAACTTGTACCATTTAGAATCTGTAGTTTTGAATATGGATCTTAAGTTGGCGTGACCCTGCTGTAGTTCGTTTATAGCATAACGTTAGCATTTTGCTTCTGGCGATTAGATTTATGAATAGAAAATTATAAAAGTAGGGAAGACATGTGGAGATTATCCGGCTGAACAAAACGTGATCCGTCTCTTAAATGTGTTTCAACCAAAGACCTTATTTCCAGCTATTTTCCAAACTCCTATGGAGAAATTGCATTGGTTTTTGTGGAAGGAACCGGAAGGAGTTTACTTCCGGGTTTTAGGACGCGTCACTGTGGCACTCTATAGTCATTAAGCAATGATGGCACAGTCTATGTTCAGAAGAAGGGTTTAGAGAACAATCAATTCATGGAAGTTAAATGATGCATTTGAGCTTGGTGCTTTATGTACTGGAGATTGGTCAAAAGGTTACCTGGGTTGGGAAGAAGACAAGGGAACAGTCCACTGTCTGGTTGCCATGGAGCTCCACAACACTCACACCTGGCTCTTTCTCTGCACCTAAAAATGCACAAAAATGATCACAAAACAAAGGCCAAAGCTCTAATTTACACAAAAACATTTGTCTTCCTAAATGCGGCATTGTTTATGTAACTACGTACTTGCTAAGGGCTGGGGGAACCTCACAGAGAAGTCAGTGTATTCCGCCAGGTCAAAGGTAACCTGGGCTGAGGCTGATGATTGGTTTGTGAGAGTGAACGGTATTGATCGCTGAGAACCAGCATAGACCCCGTAAAAGTGGAAATGCGACTGTAAATGGATACAAAATGAAAGAAAAAAGGTCAACAGCAACTTAAATTGAAAGGGAAAGGATCATTTCAGCTTTCAATGACAGGAGCTGTCCAAAAGCGGATTATCCTTCAGTTCATATCCTTACAGGTGCAACCCCTACGCGCACGCACGCACGCATAGGCCTGTCACGATAATTAATTTTGTTGGACGATACATTTTCCTGGAAATTATTGCGATAAACGATAATATTGTCGACCGTTGTAAGACCATTTTAGACAACTGACATAATGATAATATATAATAATAATTCAAGTACAACCTTTCAAAGAGAACCTTTTATTGAACATTGCAAATTAAATGTGAAATAATATTGAAATATATAAATGATATATAATAAAAACAAATAAATTAAAATTATTAAATAAATCACACACAACCAAAACAATACATTAAATAGACTCAGGCTTGAAAACAGAGCTCTTGTGGCCAAAACAGGCAATTGCATTTTAAAATGCAGTAGTAAAAAAAATGTTAAA